ACTTCTTTCATGTTGGTTCGCTCTTTGAAATGCTTTTTTTAAAAGAGATTTGGTGTAACCTCTTGAGATCAACCGTTCTTTAAGTAAGGAGGCTTCATGCAGGAAGTCAGATTGTAGAGTACAGTTTCTTTTGAGTCTCAAGTATTGCCCATACGGGATACTCTTGACTAGGGATGAAGGGTGTGCACTATTTGAATGTAAAATGGTATTACCTGCTGTAGGCTTCCTATAAAGAGTGGTTTCAACAGTCATGATTATACATCTGGCGAGGACATACATGTAAGCATCCAGTATATATCCAACTTTGATTCTTATTTTTTACTTTTATACTGTGTGTATAATCTTGCTGTTTTACACCAATGTAAACAAGTGATCTTATACGTGAGTTGGGTGCAGTTCCAGGTTTCTAATATCCCTGTATACGGGTTTACCATCTTTATCATAGGAATACAGTTCTCCCGGAGATCTGCCTTCTTTCCCCTGAAGAAGCCCCTTCTGGGGGCGAAACATGTAGGGACCTATAGGAGGGTTTACATCATCTGAAAATAAGTTACCGTAGATCTCGTAACCGCACGGTACTGTCACCTAACGGTGAACCTGCATATTCAATATGTATTTTTATTAATGATATATATTTTTATTGATGACATGATTTTGTACTTTATTTCTTAGTTCTAAACTATGTATACAACAATTTAGTGAATAAATGTTTTTCTAAGACTTTTATATACGAGGTCTGGACTGGTTTCTAAAAAGCCCCCTTTTCTCTCCCCACTGGGTCCTTGCACAGCCCACTGCGGAAACAATCTGTTCCTTTGTATCCATAACCTGGGGTGTGAAACCTCCAGCTCCTCTAGAGGCTATTTGCAACACACGCCTGCCAATATTATCCCTTAAGAGAGGCTTCACTTGTCCGGGGTTCTTGCAATGAGTGCGGACGCCGGACAAAGCTCTCTGCATTCCCGCTCTCCATCCTGAATGATAGGCTGTCCCAAGGGGACCTTCCTGAGCCTGTCTAGCCTCCTGATCCTTCTGGGACTTCTAGTGCTTCACATCCCTGCACCTAAAACTACTGCCATACCAGCCTCTACAGCCAGGATACAGACTCCAGGATTGGGTCTGCCTGTTAACCAGTGTACACCTAACAGCAAGTATTGATTACCCCAGCTGTTACTTGCTCATTCAACCTATTTGTCTTTTGCAGTTTGGTTGTGAAGTGAACATTACAAATACCACCGTTTATACTTGCCATACAAACTTATGTGATAAATAACCCTGTGATGTAAAGTGAACATTACAAATACCACCGTTTATACTTGCCATACAAACTTATGTGATAAATAACCCTGTGATGTAAAGTGAACATTGCAAATACCAGGGTTGTTACCTGCTCATTCAAACAATTGACTTTTGCTGCTTGTTTGTGAAATGAACATTACAAGTACCGCCATTGACACTTCCTTATTTAAACTTATTGATCAACTACCATATGAAGTGAAGTGACTGTTTTTTGGACTTGTTGAAAGGATATCCGCAGCTGAGTTCCATCTCCGATCATAAGAGGTATTATAATATGTACCAAGAATACTTTGAAAAGGATGCAAAACATAGATCAAATTTTGCAGGTAGTGTAGCCCTGTTTTGGGGCAAGGGGGTTAAGTGAGATGACCCTCTCCAATCAACTACCACCGCCAACCTGTAGGTAACTAGAAAATCTTGAGCCTCAGCAAATTGGGAGCGTGGGAATTGAATATATCTATAATGGCAGTGCCTCCACCCAGCTAGTTCTTTTTTTATTACAAGTGGGACCACCAAATGAGAAGGACCTTGTCCCTAGGCATGTTCCTCTGAAGATGCAATTCTGATCATCAGATATTAAGAGTGGTGAGGGTCAGTCACTTAAAATACATTTTAAGGTATTTTAATGTGCATGGAGATAAGTAGGAAGGAGGATGAGCGAGCACAGGATACCTACTGAAATATATCAAAGCAAAGTCTTTTTAGTCTTTTGTGTGGTCTTCTATCTTTCTCGATCTATCTTCTTTCTCTTATTGCTTTACTGGCTGGACACATAACTTGTAAATTAGCTCCTTGTAACTGAGGTTCTAGTGTATGCTCATCATTACATCAAGGCAGCACAGAAATGGGTAGATTCCTATTTTAATCAGCCTCAGTCAGTCACTTACCATCCCTGTGGGGACAGCTGCAGCTGTGCTTCCTTTAAGGCCTGTAGCACTCCATAACAGCCAGTAACTTAGGGACACTTCCCAGGAAGGGAGATCCCCACAGCTTCCCATACGCCTGCGGCCTAGATTGGGGATTACAGATGCATCCTCTCAGGGTGGAGACCCTGGGGGGAAGACATGTGCCAGGAAGTGCCTCAAATATTTAATAGGTATCCCAGCATGCACAGCTGGCTCCCCAGACCCGCTGATTGGCCTGGTATTAAACATCCTTCATATGAAATGTTATCTCTAGCACAGCCTGCTGGAGAACATTCAACACAGCAGGTGACTGAGAACAATCACTGCACGCATCCTTACATTAGCATAAAATGTTTTCATTTTTTGTCACAAACGCGTTAAGCCATTCCCCCCGTTGTTTGTAGACACTTTCTTTCTTTGGTGTTTCTAGTTGCACCTGAATGTAATATATCAGAGAGATGGTGCTGTGTGATACCTGTATGGAGAACATTTAATACTAAATAACACAAACCTTGGACTCTGCACCTGTTATGGGAACTTCAGGCTCCCAGAATGTATTTGTTACTATTTCATGGCATTATCTTTTAGTCATAATGATTATATATAACACATTCCAAACATTATCACTCCAAAATATTTGTCTCCTATTGTTCATTAATATATTTTATATCATGCACCTGAAACTCAAACAATACATACATTCTGGGAAATGAAAAGCATGCTTTCTTACATTTAACCAGATTCTAAATGCATTGACATACTGTACTTAGCTGCATCATTTTGAATTCCCCACATAGTGTTTCATCAATATGGTCTCCAGGACATTGACTGAATATTAGTGGCATTAATAAGGCTTTTAATGAATGTAGAGTGTATGTAAACATTCAGAGTCTAAAAGCTTTTTATAGGGTACCTGTCAGGACAAGAATATCAGAACTTCCATGGGTGTCTGCAATTCTCGGGGGCTGTCATTTTTATCCTTGCCACACTGGTTAGTGGGTCACTGATGCAGAACAGGCATTCAGCTTGAAAATAGTATTCCTAACATGCATACTTGTTGCAGGACAATGCCTTGCTAAGTAATGAAGCAAAGATTAGGAAAATGGTCTTCCTTATTCCTATTCAGAGAGGTTCCCTTTAATTATGTTTCTATTGATTAAAAAAATAGCAGACTTCTAA